TATCTCAAGTATTACTAATTATATTAATCAAGTAAAGAAAACTTTATGTAACCCTAAATATTGCTGGGTAATGATTACTATGTTTTTATAAACCATTAAATATATTAAAAGGATTTATCAACTGTATTTTTTATTCCAATAAATATATCACAGCTTCCTAGTCTTTTTTAATTAATCTAGTTTTTTAAAAACATTACAAAAAACATCTGTTGTGGATAATTTATTGTTGATAACAATGTACATGGGATTTAGGAAAAATGTATATGTTTGAAATCAATTTCGTTTTTATTAAGTCTTTCAAATGTATCCCCTCCTTGCTGTCAGCTGATTGCGACGTTGCCACATTAATCCTCAAGTCAGACAGAAATGCAATTATTGGTTTCCGTTTCTAATTAATACAGCTGTACTATGTTCAAAACTTACATTAGAATATAATACTGTTTACTATCTATGGAAAAGTTTTATTTCACAATTTCTACATTTTTTCTCAGTTATGGGCAAAAAAGAGCCGCACCGTCCATCTTCGCCATATAAACCTATGTTAAAATGAACAACTTTCAACAACAATATCTCAAAATATAGATTAAAAAAAAATCAAAAAATATGACGCACAGGAGAGAGCACTGGCTAATACGATATATAAAGGTGTTTAAAAATCTATTACAATAAAGAAACATTTAAGTATAAAGGATCAGTCAAAAAGTCATGACGAAACAAAGTTGCTTTTTCTGTAACGGAACACCTTGTATATTATTCCATATTTCGATTCTTCTCGAAATTCTAAACAAAATTCATAATTGTAGTGTATCATGTACCTAAATTAAACGTTTTCGAGATATCGAACTTTCAAAGTAACTTTTTACTAGGTATTCTCAAATTTATTTAAAAAAAATAGGCCCCAAATTATGGATATTTATGTTTAAAATAATACAAGGTGGACGATATGGATATGATATAATTTTATTATTAGTGTTTTTACAGGAAATAAAAGAGGATAGTAGTTCAGGGTTGATAAAAATGCATGGAAACGAAAATATGTATTTTTTAATTAATGTCCTAGATATTTTATGAAAACAATAGCCCTATTTTACGCGATATGGTCTTGATTTGCAATATGATGCCTATTGTTTGGAATTGTATAGAGCCGATCCATTGGTGCTGCTCTTTATACATAATAAATTACAAACTAGTATAAAATCACTAACAACTTGTAGTAGATAATTAAGTGTGCTGCAAGGAATTTTCTTTTAGAAAACAGCTTCTATTCGGTTAGGGAGTATTTGGAATTTTAGTGTGTTGGTTTGTACATATCTTTTTTGTGTGGTTTTATTGTATTTTTCTTTTTAAAAAAAAATTTATAAAAATTTTTTTGACATATCCCATATCATTGTATGATCAATTGGATGAATAAAGGTTGATTTGATTTGATTATGCCATGCCAGAATAAAAAAAAGAGAAAACAAGTTTTAATAAACAACTAATATTTTCTTTGGAAATCTGTTTTATAGGTGCTCAAAGTGTTCACTTCACCATTTACCTAATGACAGTAATGATTTCGCTGAACAAAATTTTATAGTGAATCTAAAATAGGGTAATCAGCTGAAGTTAAAAAGTACATTATCTCACCCATACATCAAATGGTTATATTTGACATTTTCATATTCAACAAAATTGGAGCGATGCCAAGTGTGTCTCAAGGTTCGATCTTGGAGCCACGGCGTTTCAGTATCTGTGGACGTATCTGATGCTTCTGAATCTTTTGATTCCAGAACAATATGCTCTTGGTTATCCTGAACATATTTATTTATTTATTTAGACAATACACTACCCTACAGAAATTCCAATTACAGGGTAGATGCTGAACTGATGAACTGAAAACTACATCATACACTACATGGTATGAGATAACACAAAACATTACATACCTAAACAATTAGCCAAAAGAGATAAATGTAAAACAAATATAATTTAATTTGTGATTGTAACTTTTTTAATCATGCCTTTATTACAATTAAAAATATCAAACTGATTTTGAAACAGATTGTATTTAACAAACATTTGAAAAAGAGGAGAGTATTTTTGAACATTAATTCTTGACACAAGTAAATAAAACAATAAAGAAAAACGAGATGATAATCTAGGTGTATGAAAATTTAACAATGAAAGTAACGAAGGACAGTCAATTGCGTTATGTGATAACTTATATAAAAATATCAATTGTGCAATCGTTCTACGTTCCTCTAAACTGCGAAATAAAAATCTATTTAAAAGATCACATTGAGAGATACCAATAGGTGGATAATTGCCATCCTCTCTAAAGACTGCAGCCTTTAAGAGACGTCTCTGAACTCTTTCAATATTAGCAGTGACTATAACAAGAATAGTCACTGATATTAGTTATGTAAATATTATAGTAGGGTGACCACACAATGCAGGGGTACTCTAATTTAGATCTAACAAAAGCTGAATATAATAATTTAAAAGTAGAGGAATCATTAAAATCCTTAGATCAGCTTAGTACAAAACCAAGCATTTTAAAGCTTTTCGTTCGTAATCATATTAACATGGTACGAAAAAGACAATTTACTATCAAAAATTACACTCAAATCACGGATGGTATGTGGCTTAGTAAGCATAGTATTATCAATACAGTAATCAAATACAACCGGTTGCTGTTTGAGAGAGAAGGTCATGACACAATACTTTTTAATACTAAGCTGTAAGTTATTGTACCATAAAACAATTTTATTTAACTTTAATTTTATTGTACATTTAAACAGTCATTTCCGCTACTTATACTAGTATAGAGCTTCATGTCATCAGCATATAATAAACAATTAACATCAGTTCCAACCACAATATCATTTACATATTAAAGAAAAGATCACCAAGAACCGATCCTTGTGGTACACCAGAAGTAGCTACAAATTCATTCGACAGCCGACCATGATATTCAATAAATGCATGCCGATTTAATAAATAAGATGAAAAGAAGTGTAGTATGTCTTTTGAGAATCCGAAACTATTTAATTTAGGCAATAAAGCACCATGATCAAGCCGATCAAAAGCCTGTGAAATCGGTGTATACTACATCTACTTGCGAATTCGAATATAATGGAGGTGGTGGATCTGCCCTTAATAAAACATGTTGATTTTCACTTAATCGATTATTTTCAAATGAAAAATAAAATCGTATAGAAGAAACTCATAAGCTTTAGAAAAATTATTGACAATTGCTATACTTAGGACTGTAATTTTCAACTTTATTTCTTTCACCTTGTTTATAAACAGGAATTACTTTAGAGTTCTTTAATACACTAGGATAAATATTACATCTATTAGACAAAATAAACAAGATGGTAAGAATAAGTACAATTGCAGGGATTTTATGTGGGCCCATAGTATTTCTGGGTTTAATTTTTTTAAGGTTGAAATCACCTCTGCTTCTGTGAACTGATTCAGTTGAAACAATGCAGTGCCAGTATCTGTTAATGAGTCAAGAGAAACTGGACTTAAACAAAAGTACTACTAAAATACTGAGCAAACATCTCAACCAGTTCACGAGTACCTTCATAAGAATTATCTTGGTGATACATACATGGTACCTTGGCAAGCTGTTATTATTTTTTTTCATATTGATAAATTACCAGAATTTATTAGGCCATATTCAAAATATATAACTATTTTCTCTAAAAGTTGAGATGGGCTGATGATTTTCTATATTTTTTAAATTTTTCTCCACACAATTTTTCCGGAAGTTTTAGATCTCTGGTGGAGGTTCTTCGGCCCCTCGCAATCGTGAGTCAGCGGTCTTGAATACACCCGGTTTATGTAAAGATGATATTCCGGCAAACCGATTGCGTTCGGCCACCGGTCTTTTGCAGAATTTTTTATTTTTATTTTATATGTATATAAAGCTCTCGCTCATAACGTTTTGATAGAAATTTCGTTATAGTAAAAATTAATAACTAGGTATGGGGTGCTTCGTGTTCATCCAAAGGAAAACGCAACGTGTAACAATATAACTTTTACTGACCGCTTCTTTACAGGACAGCACGACCGATCGGGAGCAAGACTTAACCCATACTGATAGTGTCGCTTCTTTGCCTGTTCTAAGATTGTACGCCGCTGTCGTCGGCGTCGTTGTCGGGTGTCTCTCTTTCGCGTTCTGCCTTACGCCGGCGATACTAAACTGTGCCTCCAATTGACAAAACCAAAGTCCTACCTTATCACTCCAAAACGGCGGTACGCGGACACTCACGCGGTGTAGCTCGGCACTGTCCATTCCTTCCGCGAGGTTTCTGGCGATGTCGCTATCGTTACTGTTGGTGTTAGGCATTTCGTGAAAAAAACTTTTAGGTTCACTTGAACTACACTATCTTCTCTATATGGCAGATCACGTCGTGCTGTCCTGTAAAGAAGCGGTCAATAAAAGTTATATTGTTACACGTTGCGTTTTCCTTTGGATGAACACGAAGCACCCCATAAATTGGTGACCCCGACGTGATATTAATTATTTTATACTTAATGTGATATTAATTACAAAAACAAATTTATTGCTAATTAAATATAAAAATGTAATTGTAACATGTCGCCACATAGGTATAAGTGAACCACATCAATTTGTCGAACGCATTTCCTTTTATCCTTCCTTTCTACCCTCGACACAAAAAATAGATAATAATCAATTGCATCAGATTTTTGGTGTTTATTTTTTTTTCTTTTATTTTAAAAACATACAGTCCACTTGGTAAGGGCTATTTGGGCCCTACCAGGGCCTGTCCAGTCCTACCATGCAAATAACAAACTAATAACTTCACCATCTGTACTTTTGGACAGAGATTATCTTAATTTTCACGAATAGTAAATAAGACATTGAAAGATTTAAACATGTTTTTTTTTCTTTTCCGTTGTTCATCCTCCAATACATTTTCTAATTTTTACAATATATTTTATTTCTGGAAACATTTCAATTACTGTATAAACGCTTTTCCAAATACATGGTCGAACCCGTCACTAATATTTCTTTTCTCTTCGTTCTAGGTCCGAGGACGAGGCGGCCGAAGAAACCCGGAACGAAAACCACGGGTACCACCGTGCCGGAAGAAAAGCGACCCCGGACCGCCTTCTCCGGCGCCCAGCTGGCCAGACTCAAGCACGAGTTCGCCGAGAACCGCTACCTCACCGAACGGAGAAGGCAGCAGCTGAGCGCTGAGCTGGGTCTCAACGAGGCCCAGATCAAGATCTGGTTCCAGAACAAGCGCGCCAAGATCAAGAAGGCCTCCGGACAGAAGAATCCCCTGGCGCTCCAACTGATGGCCCAAGGCTTGTACAACCATTCGACCGTCCCCCTCACCAAGGAGGAGGAGGAGTTGCAGGAGATGCACTCCACCAAGCCTACCTCATAGGGCTAGGGGAGGTCGTCGTATGGCTGTTGGACTGCTAGTTAACTTATTTGAACGGTGATAATTTGATGCTTCCATTTTTTTTAAGAGTTGTGATTTTTGTTAGGGTCCTCTTAGTTCGTTCGCGGCCGAGGCGTAGGCCAGAAGCCGTTTCAAAAAGTATTTCAGAGTATTTTTAACTGTTCAAACAATAAATTGTATAAGATCACGGAAATGAAGACCGCAAGGGAAGAAGAAGGTTTGTCACGAAACTAATTTTATTTATGGAAATAGTCTTTAACAATACTAATTAAAATTTAACAGTTTTACACAGTCAAAAGAAAACAATTACCTACGTTTCATGCTTGATTGAACAAAACATGGTGATCCCCCATATCCCATTTCCAACAAAATTGGTAACATCGGAAATAGAACGTTCAGAATTGTGATAGATTATAAAAAATTGAATGAAAAACGGCACCAGATACAATTCCTGCACCCAACATAAATGATATGTTGCATAAATAAGGGCGAGGTCAGTATTGAAACATGTCAATGGATCCTGGTGATATTGAAACAGCATTTTTAACAAGAATTGAACTTGAGTTTCCCAGAATGCCGTTTGGATTGCAAAATGCTCTTTCGACGTTCCAAATTTCAAACACCTGTACACATGTAACACCAAGCACATGTACGAATCTTGTTCTATCTGGTTTAAACAGGGTGATTCAGTCATACTGCCATTAATTTTAAGGGAATATAGGGAATAATGAGTAGAACACGAAAACGTGAAATTTTAAATGCATATTTAGGGTAAAAAAAGTATTTTCAATAAATTAATGACATTATGACCTTGTATAATACACGGATTATGAATATTTTTCGACATACATCGTTAACAAAAACATTGAGAACATAAGACTAACTTTTGACATAATTAGGCAGCTAATTTAAAATTTGCATTTGGAAAGTCAATTTTTTTTTAAACAAACAAATACTGAGCGACTGTATTGCTTTCTACAATGAAGTTGTAAAAAAATATGTATAAAGTTTTGTCTACTAAATGGTAAACCGACATTACGATATATTGTGACATACCTCCTTTTTTCCCGTGGTCTTCAAATAGTAAATTTGCCTGTAATATTACTTACCATGGAAATTTTGTAAACGCTTTCATTTTGAAATAATGTTTAGTCCTTCATTTGTTAATTCCTGTGATTTCTGAAGCGGTTTCTGAATGCTCAAATAGAAAAATCAGCAATCTTATTTGACTTTTTCTATTGCTTACACTGTTATTTTAAAAAGAACTCACCAGTTATCAAGGAACATTGATTAAATTGTTTTTATAAAGATGGGACGAGCAGAAACAAGCTTAAACATTGTTTTACAATGTTAAAATTTAGAAACAATCCTTACAGGGTGGTCTTAAACTTCTGATATGTTCGGAATACATGCTAGATAAAGAATAAGTGTAAGTAATAATATTTTTATATAAGCCTTTTAAGGGCGAGGTTAGATAAATTTTTTAATCGATGTCAACTTTTATTTGAGATCCCACCCTTACGATCAATACAGTTTAATAAAAATGCTCATGGGAACACTAAGTTGATCGATCAAAAAAAGAAATGGACTAGGCCTGTGCGATTCGCGGAATAACTAATCGATTTTCGATTCGTCGGAAAAATCGATTCGTATCGATTAATCGTGTGCAATAAATCGATATATCAATTCGAATTGATTTGTATTTTTGAATCGACCCATCGAAAAAATCTAATTGAAATATCGAATGGCTGATCAACTGAATTGAATCGGAACATGTGTCAAGTTAAATTTATTTGAATCGACAGTTACACGTGGGAAAAACTGTATATTAATTCGAATCGATTTATATTTTGGAATCGAATAGAATAGAAGGAGATGAGGGAATATTTAATTGTAATAAAACAATAAAACATCAATGTGTTTGTTACCAAACATAGGCAAATAAATATATAACTCAGGTATTTGCTAGGTACAAGCAATTAGAAACAACGGTAGTTTAAACTTTTGACAATTAAGTTTAACTTACTGTCAAAAGTTTAAAACAATCGTTAATGTACTAAGCATTAGCCGGAGGAAGATATCTATTTCTTGTTTTTGATAAATATTTACATGCAAATAAAAAGTTATTAAATATAATAGGGGTCTTATAATTCCATATGAACTAGTGATGATTTCAAAGAATAAAAAAAAATATAGTGCCTAAATTTTGTCTTCGATTTTCTAATAATGTTGTTTTTGATTTATTCCTTTATTTCCAATGAAAAATTTAATTTTGATTCACTGTTAAATGTTTATTTATTTTTATTAATTATATGCACAGAGAATAAAATAATTGAGTTGGGCAAAAATTTGTAATAATTGCTGTGGATGATACCTAGTACACTACCAAATAAATGAGATACTTATTGCCTGAATTCGTAACACAGTCAAGGTTGGTAGGTCTGCCACCTAGACCGCTGTGTGAGAAACTGTATCGTGTCCCGACTCCAAGAATCAAGACGCTTGTGCAAATGGTTGTGATCTCACACTAGAATATTATTATATGTAACGATCAGATAGAGATATAACGTGAATATAAATTGCATTTTACCAAATTGCACTAAAATTAAGTGTAGAAAAGATTTCAATAGATCCAATAGTAATAATAATAACGTGTAGTATCTGAAGATAATTAAATATTTAATAAACCGAAACATTAGAGAGAAGAATTTGGTCTTAATAATATAGATACCAATAAAGTAAATATAGACCAAGGCGGATCTATTTTGAGGTGGATGTGAGAGGGGGCAAACAAGCAATTTTTTTCTGGATTACCTTCAGTACAACTCACATAATAAAAGTGTAGATCCCTAGATCTGGGTGAGGTCCGGAACATTTTCAAAATTGCAAAAATTTTAAAAAAATTAACAAAAATACCTACTTTATCTGAATTTTTTACTTATATGCTGGAACCTATACATTTTGGAAGAATATTGTAAAGAAGAAAAAGTTTTAGAATTGAATTTTGCACAAAATACTGTAAATTAATAATGTTTAAATTTATTACCGATGTTGGAAAATAGCAATAATTGATGAAAAAAGGCAAAATAATCAAGTTTTTTGGATT